TTTTGGAACTTTTCGTTTTTTTTTTCAACTGGGTTACTGGCATCTATAATAATGAGACAAAAATGCCCCTTGTTCACTCGATTCATTTCCAAAATAGCTCTCAACAGTTCGAACTGCAGGTTTCCATATTAGTCAGGCAAAATTGCGTGGCGAAAGATTGGTCGCCGGAAATTTCGTTCATAATGCGGGGTGTCCATATTAATGGGTTTTAATGAGACACGACTGTAATTAGAAATTTGCTGAGCTTCATAACAATCCTTTAAGTCGGTAAATTTTAGAGAGCCTCGAAACATGTGGGAACTGTGGTGGTGTGCAAAAGTCACAGTTTGTGCTATAGGCACGAGGCTGGCAGAGTGAACATACACATCTGTAATGGAAGCAATTTATTTCAAACCTTAATTACCCTAAATGTTCCTTAAAAATAGGCCCCTCGACAGATATCAGTGGGCTACCTACCTTATTTCTGTAAAAGTGATTATGTTGCCAGCGGGAAGTTGGCCTCTATGGGTGTCTGGTGTCTCTGGTGTGAGAAATTTAGCCAGTGCAATACGACTGCCAGTCTGGGGTCTTTGATGTGCATCAAAAGATGAAAAAAAAGCAAAACAGAGCAGCCGTCTATTCAAGCGTGCAGCGAAAACTGGCATGCCCTGGCGTCCAAAATGGGAAACAGAGGAAAGAAGATGAAGGGGAGACACCGCTCTTTGGAGCAAAAAATACAAAGTCCCACATTTGTATTATTGTGGTTTTGAAGACTGACAGGTACCTATCATCTTGCCTTGAAGTATTTTAATTAAGTAAGTTTCTTTCATCTTGAAATATTGATTTTAAAGCATAGTAAAATGGGTCTCTGCATTTTTTTTCTGTTGTTTTGGAACAATCTTTTACACATTTTGCTGTTTTATGGAAGTCCTATTTCCACTTGCATGCAACCAAGCTTTACAATACCTTCTTCCTCTGGAAGGTGCATAAGTGAGATATTCAATAAGTATGTTAAATATGGCATCACCTTCCTTTAAGGGCCTCCTACCCTTTTCGTAAAAATATAATTTTAAAACTGGAAAATTTGAAAGTGTCATAAAAAACCTATAAATCATCCTAAAGCCCTATTGGATTATGCAGACCTTCAAGTTTACAAAGATATGTTTCTTTCTGAATTCAAAATTTGGATTCCAGCCCATAATTTTCGCAGATGAAACATTCAATGTCAATTGAACTAGTTAAGCTATGTCTAGACCAAGTACATATTTTTAGTCAGATAGTAAAGGCAGATAAGTTGTACACATTTCATATGTATTAGATCACAAGTTATATATAAAAAAAACACTAGAAGCTGTGTTCTCTCTTAAATGCCCGTCATTAAAGTTGCGAATAGTGTGTACAATCAATGTCACATTTAAAAAAAAAAAAAAAAAAAAACGAGTTTTGGCGTGTTGCATGAAATTGCACATGTGATGGGGTGGGGCTGTAATTTCACTGTTTTGGCAATGACCTTGTAGATTAAAAATAAACAAGGTATCAGAAAAAAAAAAAGAAAAACGCATCTTCACGTGGTGAATGATGTTGATTGGGGCGAAGCTGGTGGTGGTGGTTGTCTGCGTAGACGCTGAGCCGCAGCATGCCGAGCCTTTCGTTCGTTTTTATCCATGTCACGCTGCGGTCAAATGCTCAAATGCGTATATAACCACGTTCCATACCACACATTCTCTTTCTGACATGGATGAAAACGAAAGAAAGGCTCGGCATGCTGTGGCTCAGCGTCTACGCAGACAAGCACCACCAGAGCTTCGCCCCAATCAACATCATTCACCACGTGGAGATGCGATTTTTTTTTTTCTTCCCTACACGAGCACGAGAGCACGTGCTCGTGAGCACGAGCTTCCGACGCCGGACATCGGACGGACATACGGACATGGCTAGCCCCTAAAAAAAAAAATCCTTGTTCGTCTAAAAATTACTTTTTAAAAGGCGGCATCTTTGTTATAAGACTGTAGGCCACAAATGGTTCGTGCCCGGACTTTTTAAACAGTGTCAACGGGTAAACCTCAAAGGAGTTTTGCAACGCAGAATATTGAATCTGACACAACTAAGTCACTAGAATCTATTACGTTCAATCTTACGTTCCATTAATATTTCTTGTGAACAAGAAGTTAGTTTCGCAAATAAATTCAATTTAATTGAGAACCGGTTGATTTTACCTTCCTGGTGGGATGGCCATGTTTGCAAGCATATCTGTGACATTCCTTGCCAATGTCTCTAACTCCCTCGCCTTGTCTGCTTACTTTCTCGCCAAAAACCAATGCAAGAGGACATGTAAAGGCATGCAAAAGAGAATGAAAGCATGGTGTGTGGTTTGTTGAATCTTCAGTAGTAAGAAATGCAAAAGTAAGGAAGGTCGGCAACGAGTGAACAAGCAGCAAGTGTTGCTTTTGCTCAAATCGGGAGTTAGTGCATTGCGCTCCCTCGTCGTAAGCTAACGCAAGTGTGGGAACGGGCCTTGAGCGCGTGTATCAAGTGAGCGATTGGACTGGCTACTTGTCGTGCCATGACCTGTCCAATAGTGTGCGGGAAGCCTGTGCCGACTTCCAGACGTCTGTCCTTCTGTCCGCAGCGCTGGAGAAGAAGATGATGGAGTGCACCAACCTGTTTGAGCAGAGCCGGGGCTCGAGCTTTGCCAAGCAGCGCCACAAGCCACCGGCGCCCTCTGCCAAGCACACCTACCCCTCCGGATTCGAAGCTCCCCGGCCGCCCCGGTCGTCCGCTTCGTCCTCCTCCTGTGAGTGGGACCAGAGCCGCCATAGTCGCCCACAGCTTAGAGAAGCCGTGCGACAGTTTTCCCCCTTTCAGTAAATACCGTCTAGCATTATTCCTCGACATTCATATCTTACGGAGCATGCGTTTATTTTTTTCTTCGCGCAGTGGCAGTCGCAGAAAAAGCTTTAGAAAAACTAGCGACGTTCACTTCTCGAATTCGCAGCCACAACAGACGGCCACACGATCCGGGATCGATTACGTGCCGCCAATTTTTATCGTAGCCACGCGCCGCAATCGGCAAGGCACGGGAAGTCTGTGCCAACTTCCAGACGTCGTTAGGGTTTGGCTGTTCCCCTTGTCTCGGATTCGTGCTTCGGCGTTCTCAAATGCCACAATCTCGTAAAAGCAATTAAAAGACGCCAGGGACCCGTTACACGCTGCGTTCCTTACACTGTTAGCAACAGTGGGAGCTACCATTTCGGTGCTTGGCTCAGTCTGGACGCAATTGGGACTAGAAAATATGTCTTCCCGAGCTTTATACGCATTTTGCTTCATCGTCAACTGTTTTGAACGCTTCTGGGGGTTTTCTGCAATTTTGTGCCGAGCTTCGACTTACTGGCAACCGCGATTTCGAGCACTGAGATGGCCAAAGTGTCATTGTTCTAAAGCTAATAATGAATTTAGGCGAGACTGAGCATACGCTCCGACAAACTGTCGGTCCGACTGTCGGTTGCCCAATTCCAGACTGAGCAAAAAACTAAAGCTCCCGAATAAAATTTGCGCGTCGCATTTCTCGCGAGTACTGCCAACCGTGTTTGCGCGAACACGCGAGACACGTGTGAGTGCGGCGCCGTCATTTGCTTCCTAGGGTCACTTATTTAGGTGCTGCGCCGCAAGTTGCTTCCAAGGGCTGCACCTCGTGCGTCGTTGTGTCTGTCGCTACTCGTAAGACGAGTACAAACACATCGAGGGGCTTTGCAAATAATCATACCCGTAGGCTTCTTTCTATGCCGGGTGTCAAAGAGAAAAGATAACAGCATTTTTTTTTGCTGCAGAAATAAGCTATGTATGTGTTGCGGAGCATTCCGCCTCCTCCAAAATGTAGCGCTAGCAGCCGGTGTTAGATGCCAAAGTTCCGGAGCTTGCCGTTATCTCGTTAGAAACTTCTAAGTGATTTTCGGAAAGTTTCAATGAGAATATTGGGACCATTCCCAAGAGCAGATGTCATTTTAGTCTATGTTTTTCTGGGCTGTCACCTTTCGTCGAAGATGTCCGGAAATCGTTCGGCAACTTTTAAATTGGATAACAATAAGTTCTCGAAATTTAGCATCTGATGGCAACCCCTGGTGCTACATTTGTCAGTCATCACTTGTATTCCAAGAACAATTCAGTCGTTCTAGTTTGAACACAAATGGTGTTTAAAGGCAGATATATTTGAGGAAAGTGTGGCATGATGCCACAAAAAGCCGCTTTATGCCCACCAGATTTCTGTCTCACTAAATTTAGTGGACAGTGTTCACGTGACATCCCTTTCTTGAGGGTCGTCACGTGACCTGTCGTCACGTGGCATGGTCGCATCATTAATAGAGTTGGGATTTCAGGGGCATGCCCCGATTTTGAAAAGTTGAATTCTGTTTTATTATCTCAAAGGTTCTCAAGAGAGCACTTTACATGAGGGGGGGTGGGCGGGGGGGGGGGGGGGGGGAGTATTTATAATTAAGTATACAATAAGAACAAAAGCAAAACTCTAAAAAATGACATTATACATACTTCACAAGAATAATTCAAACATTTCATGAATTTTTTTTTTTTTAGTTTTGCGGACAATGTGTTTGTGCAATGAGTTCCAGTCGGCAATTGCAAGAGAAAGTGGAGAGTTTTGAAATTTGTTAGTTCTAGAGAAGGGGAGGCGCACCTTTAAAGGGATGATGAAGGCACTTGGAAATGTAAGATGGGTTTTGGAGATGGTAGGCTGAGAAATTCAGATAATGAATACTAGATGCCATGAAAGGAAACAAGACTGGAAATTTTGGTTCTATCGGTTAGTAGTCTGAAGTCTAGGGTTTTTTTAATAGCCGTGACGTTTGAGGTATATGAGTAGTGATGAGTGATATAACGTGATGCTTTATTTCGGATAAATCCTATAAATGGTAAAATTGGATAAGTCCAAATTTACCAAAATTTTACCGACGGGTGTTTTTCGCATTTTTTCTTTTATTTATCCGAAAAGACGGAACCCTAGGTAGAGGGTGTCCAAAGTCACTAGGCTCGACCTAAAATGGACCGTAAAAATCGATGCCCGCACATAGCAATCTAAACTTTTCGCCAGAGGTGTATTTGACAAATCGGTTTTTTCTTGTAAAATTACAAATCGTAGCTACCTTTCTGTAAAAAATAGGGCCAAAAAGCTTGCCAGGGAGAACGGTGGATTGCGACGCAGACGACCAAGTCGAGTAGCGGTGCACATTTGACGCTCATATTGATGGATGGCGCTACCTCCTTATCGAGACGGCTCGCGATCACCGGGGTTTATTAAAATTAACATAATATTTTTGTAATGTACCTCTGGTTAAAGAATAAATGCAAACAATAAAAGCAAAACTGAAAGTAAAAAAAATTGTTTGTATTATGACGGTGCTTTTGCTGCCAGCGGATTTCATCTGTGTGTCATCTGCTTTCTTTCGCTATCGGCTAGAACTTCCGATGCTGTTCCCGACGCCATCTATCAATATGTGTGCCAAACGCGTCCCGCTACTCGACTTGGTCATCTGTGTCGCCACCCGCTGTTGTGCCTGGCAAGTTTTTTGGCCCTATTTGTGACAGAAAGGTGGCTATGCTTCGTAATTTTAGATGAAAAAACCGACCTGTGAAATACACCTTTGATGAAAAGTTTACATTGCTACCTGCAGGCGTCGATTTTTACGGTATATTTTAGATCGAGCCTGGTGCCTTGGGACACCTTATAGACGATACTTGTAATACAGTCAAACGATTTTACTAAAAAACTGCTGTCCCCTCCGTGTGGGCTTTAACTGGCGCCAAGCATAAGCCGCAAACGAGGGAATTCTAGCCTAGCCCAAACTATTTCTAGGTTGCTATCTACGGAGATGGGTATCGCAGTAATAGATTTGCTATCTGCAATGAGGACTCCTCCTCCCGTGACAATGTACGATCCTTACGAAACAGACGAAACGACTCACTCAGAAGGAGCTCCTCGTTTAGCACTTGGGGAATCAACCGTGTTTCGGTGCCAATTACCATGTTGGCATTGGTATCATCATTTGTGGAAGCGGTGTTCCGATAACAGTGTCAGCTACCAGTACACATCTATCGAGCCATTTCCATTTGGTTTTCATCTACTTTGTTGTCTTGAATTGTCTCGATTTTACACGGAGTGCCCCGAAAGATTCAATATTGTCCCGATTGTCCATTAAGTGTCCAGTTGCTTCACTGGAACGCCTGTATATATTGTGCCTTTCACCCGTTGATCATAGTTTTGCGTCGGCAGGGAGCCAGCGTAGCCGGCTGCCTTCCCTTCCTTCTAAAGATCTGGATATACAACACCATCGACCAATAGCATGCGGCTCTTTCTGGGGCAGACTCGTCTGCCGACGAGTCTGCCCCAGAAAGAGCCGCATGCACTTCGATTGGTCTGCGATGGCTTCCGGCGACGCGATGCAATTTCCGCGTGCACTCCTGTTGGCACGTTGTTGTTGGACAGCTCTACGAAAGATAAACTTTGTAAGTCGCTCAAGAAACGCCCTGACATAGGCTAGGTACATTCACCAAAGACTCCAAATGGGGATGACTTTTATACCAAACGAGCCCTCGTGTTTTTGCCGCTTGTCTCTGTGGAAGTTGTGCAATCATTCTCCGACTTCGAGAATTCGTTAACAGAGAGAAGCCACAGCCAAAGCAAACAAACACCTAAGGTGTTCCTGACCATTTTCTTGAATGCATGAGAGTAGAATGTCTGTTTTTGTATAATAAAAAGAAAAATGCATATTTCAGTGCTAATAAACACTCTGAGCATACTCGCTGAAGCCTACATTGGCCCAGAAAGTGTCCCAATGTTTTGGCGTTTCCTGTCCCGATTTTGTCCCGATTTCACCAGTAATTTTGTCCCGGAAATCCCAGCTCTAGTCATTAGTGCCACTTGACAGATGTGAGATTGGGTCACGTGATGTCACGGTGGCACACGACATGTTACTTGACAGCAGGGTGTTATGTGATGTCATGGTGTCACGTCATAGTATCACGTGAAACCACTGCGGAAGGTCAATTCACGTGACACCACTAAATTTGTCACCCTAAATTTGTATTCACATCGGTGCAGACAAAAACATGCAGCATATTTGAACGCAAACGTTTCACAGAAGTCCGTTTAGTTTGGTCACGACTAATGATAAATGTGGGACGTCCAACCCAGCCCTACTTGGGGACTCAACGTAATTTATGTCTTCCAACCTTATCCGAACGTTTTATGTCTTCCAACCTTATTCCCAAGATTAAGATACGGCGATCAGGTCTTCGTCGTCGTCATCGCGCACCGCCATTATCGTCGCGGATGGCTCGCACCACGCGGCCGACCAGCACGGGTCAGTTTGAACGTAAATGTCGTCGGGACTAGTTCCAGGGTCCCTGTCTTCATCGCGATACATTTAATTTTTGATCCAGTACCTCACCGGCAACGCGTGTTACGCGATCGCCGTTTCGCAGACGTGGCGCACCCTCCCGCCTGGTGCGAGGCGTCCCGTGTGCCGGCGTTTTACCGGGACGTGGAGCGCCAGGTGACGGTGCCCGGTGCGGGGATCAACGGGGCCCTGGTGTGCTCCCTGCTGCTCTCGTCGGGCCTGTCTCGGCCCGTACTGGGCCGGATATGGGAGCTGTGCAGCTGCACGCTGGCCGGAAGCTTCACCCCGACCGAGCTCTACACCGCCCTTGCACTTGTCGCTGTTGCTCAGGCAAGACGCATTCTATGCACATTATTCGGGGACACTCAACTTTCCCAAAAAAACTTCCATACCAAAAGTGCTTTAGGGGTCGTTTATTATGGGAAAAATCGTCATGAACAAGCAACATGCAAAAAGTGTTACAAAAAGTTTCTAAAAAAAAAATGAAAGACGTTTACAATTCTCTGTAATGCTAAATTAGAGTGTAGCTCTTGAGCAGGAGGAGGGGAGGATACGGAGGGCAGGATGTGTAAGTAGTGATAGAGTGCAGGCGAGCTGGTAATTAATCAACATCTTGTAGACCCTGAGATGGGGAACAATAGAAAAAAAAACGGACAAACACAACAAAATCTCAAACGTAGCTGAAATTTATTGATATGAGCACACCAATAAATAGACTTTCAAACAAATGAAAAAAGAGAAAGGGGAAAAAAGAACTCAAACGCATAAACAAGACGGGCAACGAGTTTGCCCCAGACAGCATGAGCCACTCGCCGGCTCCAACACTTTTGGAAAGGGAGCCGACCACCCGAACAACAACAACCCCAAGGTCAACACACAAGGCAAACTCTAAACCACTAAAGCCTAAGCTTCATTTCCTATACATAATTAAACAGCGCACAAGGAGAGGGACAGAAAAGGAAGACAGAACAGGCAAGCGCTGACTCGCAACTGACGATTTACTATGAAAAGGAGAAGGAAGAAAACTACACACATGAACATATATCGGAAAAGAGAAAGATGTGAAAAAGCTAATAAATTAAATAAAATTACACCTAAAATAATTATAGCTGAAAAGGAAAACAAAATAAAATGAAAATCAATCTCTCAAAGTCCTAGGCATGTCCAGTGCCGGCACTCCGAAGCCTTGACCATACACCTATTTCTGCGCAGCTGCCCCCATAAACTCATACTCGCTGTCTTGTAGTGTTAATGATGGCTGGCTCACACATTTGGATTCGAGCTTTCTTATCCAAAAGGCTTCCACTATTTCTCTTGTTGTTTTTTCTTTATGGGAAGCTAGAACAGTTGTTGCACAAAAATCTGGATCACATCCACAGGTTCTGCAGCGGATGGCTAGGTGGCTTCCAGTGGTGGTTTGAAGAGACTGTTTATGTTCCCTCAAGCGGTCGTTGAGGCAACGCCCAGTCTGTCCGACATAGGTTTTCCCGCAGGACAGAGGAAGATGGTAAACCACTTGTAGAATGCAAGACACAAAGTGCACCTTGTGGTTTTTCATGCAGCAAGCCCTGCTGTCATTGTTCTTGTCCACAAGCGTGCAAATTCTACCCAGTTTGTTTGGGGCTGAAAACACCATGGGCACGTTGTATCTATTGGCAACATTTTTTAAGTTGTGCGACGTCTTGTGGATGTATGGTATAACTAGTGGTCGGATATTGGTAAGGTCTTTGCTCTTTTTTCTTTTGGTCGATCCTTTACAGGTTTGTATCAGAGTGCCCGCAACTTCACTTAACATGGCTGATGGAAAGCCGGATCTTGAGAGTTTGTTTACTTGAGTGCTGAAACCCTGTTCGATGGTGTGGTGACAGGATTTTTTCAAAGCTGAATACATGCACGAACTGGCTATCCCTCTTTTTATTAATTTTGAATGGGCAGATTGGTAATTAAGAATTTCTTTTTTTGGAGCGTGGTAGGTAGGACCAACAAATGTGGTGATCTGAGATTTTTATAGATAGGTCCAGGAACTGCAGCACATTTAGAATAGGTTGTTCATACGTAAAACTCAGACCTTTACCGCTTCTGGAGAAAACACTCAGGATTGTATCTATTAAGTCTTCTGTTTGTTCTTCTTGGAGGATAATAAGAAAGTCATCAACGTACCTGAAGACTTTTATAATAGACATAGTGCTCAAAAGCGGTGCGAGGATCATGTCTACGCCTCCCAGAAAGCGTAGACATGATCTTTCTGGGAGGCGTAGACATGATCCTCGCACTGCTTTTGAGCACTATGTCTATTATAAAAGTCTTCAGGTACGTTGATGACTTTCTTATTATCCTCCAAGAAGAACAAACAGAAGACTTAATAGATACAATCCTGAGTGTTTTCTCCAGAAGCGGTAAAGGTCTGAGTTTTACGTATGAACAACCTATTCTAAATGTGCTGCAGTTCCTGGACCTATCTATAAAAATCTCAGATCACCACATTTGTTGGTCCTACCTACCACGCTCCAAAAAAGAAATTCTTAATTACCAATCTGCCCATTCAAAATTAATAAAAAGAGGGATAGCCAGTTCGTGCATGTATTCAGCTTTGAAAAAATCCTGTCACCACACCATCGAACAGAGTTTCAGCACTCAAGTAAACAAACTCTCAAGATCCGGCTTTCCATCAGCCATGTTAAGTGAAGTTGCGGGCACTCTGATACAAACCTGTAAAGGATCGACCAAAAGAAAAAAGAGCAAAGACCTTACCAATATCCGACCACTAGTTATACCATACATCCACAAGACGTCGCACAACTTAAAAAATGTTGCCAATAGATACAACGTGCCCATGGTGTTTTCAGCCCCAAACAAACTGGGTAGAATTTGCACGCTTGTGGACAAGAACAATGACAGCAGGGCTTGCTGCATGAAAAACCACAAGGTGCACTTTGTGTCTTGCATTCTACAAGTGGTTTACCATCTTCCTCTGTCCTGCGGGAAAACCTATGTCGGACAGACTGGGCGTTGCCTCAACGACCGCTTGAGGGAACATAAACAGTCTCTTCAAACCACCACTGGAAGCCACCTAGCCATCCACTGCAGAACCTGTGGATGTGATCCAGATTTTTGTGCAACAACTGTTCTAGCTTCCCATAAAGAAAAAACAACAAGAGAAATAGTGGAAGCCTTTTGGATAAGAAAGCTCGAATCCAAGTGTGTGAGCCAGCCATCATTAACACTACAAGACAGCGAGTATGAGTTTATGGGGGCAGCTGCGCACAAATAGGTGTATGGTCAAGGCTTCGGAGTGCCGGCACTGGACATGCCTAGGACTTTGAGAGATTGATTTTCATTTTATTTTGTTTTCCTTTTCAGCTATAATTATTTTAGGTGTAATTTTATTTAATTTATTAGCTTTTTCACATCTTTCTCTTTTCCGATATATGTTCACGTGTGTAGTTTTCTTCCTTCTCCTTTTCATAGTAAATCGTCAGTTGCGAGTCAGCGCTTGCCTGTTCTGTCTTCCTTTTCTGTCCCTCTCCTTGTGCGCTGTTTAATTATGTATAGCAACCACCAACTAGCCCAAGTATCCACCATTTTGAACTTCATTTCCTACTTCCAAGCAAACGCTTCACAATTTCCTCGCCCCCCCCAAGTTTACAAAGCCCCCCTCACACAAGCAAAAACTCTTTCATCCGCTCACTGATAACCAAAGACGGCTGGCTCACACAATTCCCATGCTCGCGAATGCACAAAGACTCCTTAATTAGCCTTCTAAACAATTCTTTTTCGTAACACGGAATGGAAGTTTCGTCCCAAAGAGGGGAACAAAAATTACACAAACCAACATGATTTGCCCCCGCAGGGGGCGCCTGCACCTTAGGTGCTAGGTGCTTGGTGAGTTGCGTCACCACGGACCCCAGCTACGTGGGCCACCATACCCGCACGCAGGGGGCACCTTGGTAGGTGCTTGGTGAGTGGCGTCACTACGAACCCCGAGCCATGTGGGTTCGCCCACCCACGTCTGGCTGTGCGTGGCGTACCCGTGTCCGGGGAAAAGGGGACCCTGGTGGTTGAGCTGAGCCCGGGGTATGTTTGGACCCTTCGGGGCCCCCCGGGCGAGGCAATACACCGCTTCGACCCCTGCTTCTCGTAGACGGGTGTCCTGGCTTGGCCCGACCAGGATGATTCAGTCAGTCGCCTCTTCTACCCTCTTCTTCCTTCTTTCACTTTTCCTTCCACCTCTTTCTCTTTTCTTCTGCACTCTCTTCCTTCCTTTTTCACCTTCTTAGGCGGCAAGGGCTAACCTTGAGTGGAAACAGGTCCTGTCCCAGCATCCACACTCGGTTATAGTGCCCGGGCAGCACTGGTAGTGTAATTGTGTCAGCCAAGCCTTTCTTGCTATGGCACATTACCTACCCCCTTGTTGGGCTCCGTGGTGGGCGGTGCACCCGGGCACTGAACTTTCTTTCCCATCTTTATGGGTTCTCGCACTAAAACCATCCTCGATCGGCCCCTGAAAAGGGTCCGCACCGAAGTCCAAATTCCAAAAAAGACACCACCAACACCGTCCAGATTTCCAAAGTTTTTGATTCTTCACTCCGAAAATGAGAAACAGCTCTCGAAATTATCTCCTTTCCTTGTCGCAAAAACACTCGAGGGTGTTGTCGGTAAGGAATTCAAAGCCAAGAAAATGCCATCCGGTGACCTACTCGTTGAGATTGAGTCAAGCGAGCAGAGTACTGCACTACTAGGTTTAACGTCCATTTCTGGATGTGACATCTCTGTCTCTCCCCACCGAACGCTAAACAGCATCCAAGGAGTTATTTCCGAGGATGACCTCCTTGACAGCTCTGAAAGTGAAATCGTTGAAGGCCTCTCTGACCAAGGTGTCACAGCTGCAAGACGTATCACCATACGTCGTGATGGGAACGAGCTCAAGACAAAACATATTGTACTCACCTTCCAATCAACCGTCCTTCCTGAAGCTGTGAAAGCTGGCTACCTGCACTGCAGAGTTCGGCCTTATGTGCCAAACCCCCGTAGATGTTTCAAGTGCCAGAGATTTGGCCATGGCTCTCAGAGCTGCCGTGGAAAGGCCACCTGTGCGAAGTGTAGCAAGACCGACCACGAAGCTGATACATGTACTAACAACCCACGCTGCGTAAACTGCTCAGAAGCTCACCCAGCATATTCCAGATCATGCAAGACATGGAAAAACGAGAAAGAGATCCTCACTTTGAAAGTTAAGGAAAACCTCTCTTTTCCTGAAGCACGCCGTCGCTTTGCATTCATGCAGAAAGGCGGCTACGCCCAAGTGGTGCAGCGGGGACCTGCACCACTGA